ACACCGAGGCTGAAAACCACCACAAGCATTGGGAATTGCACTGAGGACAAGACCACTGTGTTCCCTCCGAACCCCCGAGAGCAGCCCCACGCTTCTTCAGACGAGACATTGTCCATCCAAACAGGATTGTCCCGCGAGCACTCAATTCCCTTCGTGCTGTTGACTCCAACATCTCGAACGAGACGCTCCAGCCGCTCCCCACCCCCCGGCCTCGTTTCTCACCAGCAGAGCAATAGCATCAGGCAAGGATTCAACCTACGCATTCCGACTTGCTGGCTGATATCCTTCCCGCGTCCATTTTCCAAGCTTTGGGAACATACCCCACACCTTGACACCTTGACCCGTGATATCCCCAAACATCTCTTTTCAGCAAGCTTCGGGGCGTTTCAACTCAACTACAACAAGTAAGGGGTCTTCGAGACGTGCCAGGTCCACCGGAGAGGCATTGATGCTGACCAGGTTGTGGTGCTATAGTCTCATCTATCCCGAACCCACGCGCCGTTGTCATTCGAGATCGAGGGAGCTTCTTGCTCCTTACTCCTGCTGAAAATCTGATACCAATTTGTTGGACCGCCTGACAGTCTCTAAAACTACCAAACACTCCTTGAAGCGAACTGCTGGTAGATGATCAACGGATCTTCCACATACAAATATCGAGACACGCATGCTATTCGCCAAAGGATACTGTGCTGCGTTGAAGGGAACAGTATCTCAGCCCAGATAGTGCCAGATCATCTATTTCCCCACACGAGCCAAGACGAACTGCAACAAGCGAAAGACAAGCGAGCGCATAAGTTGGTTTCCCCAACTCCTCCGCGCCTGGTGTCTCTCTGCGAGGGAAGCCGTGGTTGTCTGTGGTTGGGTATAGCATGAACAGTTCCCGCCTAATCTCGATCTAGCCGGGTCCCGTCTACAATATACGGTACCGCGGAACGAGAGACGTCATTGCTACCCGCAATACCTTTGTCACACTATTAGCTTCTCGGGAATATTCCAGATAATCTCGCCAGGTACAGTACGCCATCGGCTTCTGGGAGGGCTTCCTTCCGCGCTGCCCGAGACGTTATGCGACGGAATCGAGCTCCGACCCCGCCGGCCTCGCCCTACCGGGCCCTGGCACACCATCATGCACACCATGGTGCGGCATCTCAGGCGGGACAGCAAGGCCGTGATTCGGTGTCCTCTGTCATCAGGTCATTCAATGTCGAGACCAATCCCACTCGGCCCATGCGCCCCTCGCCGCTGACGGCTTCGACCATTCCTGACATGCCGCTTGATTTGGTGGATCGAATCCGATCATTTCCACTCTTCATGTCTGCGCCCGACGATTTTCTTGCTGCTATCATCTCCCACCTCAAGCTCCAAGCCCATTCCGCTCACGACCATATTCTCACAGAAGGAGACGAAGCAAAAGCAATGTACTGGCTGGTCCGCGGCGTAGTCGCTGTCACATCTCGTGATGGCGAGGCCGTCTATGCAGAGCTCAAACCAGGCGCGTTCTTTGGAGAGATTGGTGTGTTGATGGATATACCGAGGACAGCAACCATCATTGCAAGGACGAAATGCATGCTGGCCGTGTTGAAAAAGGAGGACCTCCAGGCAGAGCTGCCCAAGTACCCAGAAATGGGAAAGGCCATCCGTCAAGAAGCGCAGGAGAGACTAGCGATTCTCAAGAAGAAGCGTCAAGAAAGCGGGCTGAGCAGCAGACTCCCAGACACGAATGGCGCGTCGCTCGCCCGAGAAGCTGCCCCTGGTGAAGTCAGCATGGGAGAAGTTGGCATCATCAAGGAGGGTGCTGTCGTAAACACCAAGAAGCGAAAGTCGCCAAGCCCAGGTGTCATCGAAGATCCAACGGTTGGTGGAAGCGTACTCGGCGGTGGATATGTCAATGTCCGCAAGACTCTCAAGGAGCTCCCCCTTTTTTCGAACCTGCCACCGGATATTTTGCACTTTCTCGGCCTCAGCGCGCAGCCCAAATCCTACCCACCATTCATCGATATTGTTCGCCAGGGCAGTCCTGGTAACGAGATCTTCTTCATAGTCCGGGGAGAAGCCGAGGTTATTCACGACCCTCTCAGTCCACCAACATTCAAGAGAGATACAAGGTCAGGGTTCTCGCGACCAAGATTAAGGCAAGGGCAATACTTTGGTGAGGTGGCAAGCTTGGGGCTTGCCGAAGGAAGGACAGCCACCGTGCGGTCCATTACCGCCGTGGAATGCTTGATGATTGGCGGAGAGGCGCTTGAAGAACTGTGGAAGAGGTGTCCTCCGGAGGTCAGGTCACAGGTGGAAGAGACGGCAAAACAACGTTACCACTCTTCGGATGAGGATGTGGACATGACAGACCCTGAAAGCCACGCCTTATCCTCGGATGAGGAGAAGGCGACGGGGGATGACATCGAAGTGGCGCTGCCTACTGTCACGTTCACAACGCCTTCAAAGCCCGGGTCTCCGGCAAACGAAGAGTCGGATGTGACCCGACGACCTTCGGATCCCGATCCGTTTTTGAGTGTGGACATGGAGAACCTTCGTAACCGGCGTCGCAACTCGTTGGCTCCACCGGCCCCTCTAACAGACAACTCAGCCATCGTTAGCCCAGTGAAGGTGCAGCCGACAACTTCTATCACGATTCCTTTGTCCCCGGTTTCTCCAGATGGCTGTCCTCTACCAGCTAAGCGCGCAAGGACTCTTTCACGGAGCTCCGCAACGGAACCGGACGATAGGATAACGACCCTGTCAGATGATGTTTGGATACATATTTTTCAGCAACTTGATCTGCCGGAGCTCATTCGATTGAGGGCTGTCTGTACAAAGTGGCGCCACATGTTGGCCACGAGTCCGAAACTTTGCACAGAAATTGAGCTCGCGCCGTTCAATCGCAAAGTTACCGACTCGGCTCTGGTCAATCTCTTGGCGCCCTTTATTGGGAACCGGCCAACCAAGATAGATATCAGCAACTGCTTCCACATTACCGACGAAGGCTTCCAGGCACTGTACCGAACATGTGGCAAGAATGTCAAAGTATGGAAAATGCGCAGCGTGTGGGACGTGTCCGCTGGGCTTATTCTTGATATGAGCGAGAATGCCAAGGGGCTGGAGGAGGTGGATTGGAGCAACTGCCGCAAGGTTGGCGACAACCTACTGGCGAGAGTAGTGGGCTGGGTGGTCCCCGAGCCGCCGCCGCCGCGCGAGAACCATAAGAATGTAGTGATTTCGAGCTCTGCTGCAAAAGGCAGGAGAGCCTCGCAGTATCAACAAAGGGGACAGCAACAGGCCGCACAACCGGGGGCGCCTCAACCTCCACCTCCGGGCACGGTCATCGGCTGTCCCCGTCTCCGCCGTCTCAACCTCTCATACTGCAAGCACATCACCGACCGCTCCATGGCGCACTTGGCTGCCCATGCGTCTAACCGCCTGCAGTCTCTTTCCCTTACGCGATGCACCTCCATCACGGACGCCGGTTTCCAGCAATGGGGCGCATACCGGTTCACCGAGCTCACCCACCTTTGCCTCGCTGACTGCACCTACCTCTCGGACAACAGCATCATCGCCCTGGTCAACGCCGCCAAGGGGCTCACCCACCTTGATTTGAGTTTCTGCTGCGCCCTCTCCGACACGGCAACAGAAGTCGTTTCCATCGGCCTGCCTAACCTGAAGGAACTCCGCCTCGCCTTTTGCGGCAGTGCCGTCAGTGATGCCAGCCTGGGGTGCATCTCCCTTCACCTCAACGAACTGCGAGGGTTGAGCGTGAGGGGCTGTGTCAGGGTTACCGGCAACGGGGTGGAGAACGTGCTGGAGAACTGCCCGGCGCTGGAGTGGCTGGACGTGAGCCAGTGCAAGAATCTGGGCAGCTGGCTCATTGGTGGGGGGGTGGCGAGGTGGGGCTATGATGAGCGCAGTGTCGTTGGCAGTGTCACGAGTGGACAGAGGGGGAAGAATGGGGAGGCCTGGGTTATTGGGTCTTTGTCTCCGCAGAATGGTAATGATAATGGGCGGAATACGCATACCCCTGGAGGAAAGATTGGGCCTGGGGGGGTTGGGTATGGGAGTGTTGGAGGAGGAGGAGGAGGGGGGAGAGTGTCGAGGGGGGGCACGATTCATCCTCAACGAACTGGAACGAATAGTATGGGGCCATCCCCGTTGCCGAACGTGAAGCCGCTTGGTCCGGGGCCGGTGATGAGGCCTGTTGTGCCTCCGCGGGGGGTGGTGAATAGGAGTTTGAGGAGGCCGGTGAGGTTTGTTGTTGAGAAGGGGCCTGGGGGGTTGAGGTGAGGGGTTGGACATGATGGGTTGTTTCTAGGATTGGTTTTTTTTTTTTTTTTTTTTTTTTTTTTTTTTTTTCGCTTGTGATGAGGACATGTTTATGAGAGATGAAAACTATATTTTTATTTGTTGGCTTGGGATGTGGTCAAGTGCAACACAAAAAGGAAAAGAAAAATGGGTGAGGGGGTTTTGTTTACATATTGATGACTGCAACATGTTTTACATGAGGTACATTGTTTCTCTTTTTTTTTTTGGTCTACATACAATGTGGCTGGATAGTATTTAGCAGGATAGAAGGTGGCGGTGGTGGTGGTGGTGGTGTTTTAATGAGGGGAAAAGAGACTGGATATGTAGATATTTTGAGGAGGGAGGTGGGTAAGGGAAAGATTGGAGGAAGGAAAGGAAAAGAAAAGAAAAGGGAAACAACAAAATGGTCTGCTTGATACCCTTCTTTTTTTCCGTTGGGAGTGGGTTGGTTGTTGAGGGGAGGTATGAGGGAGATAATGTTAGAATGATAATGAGAATTTGATGTATCATGACTTTTTGAGAGGTATTGTGTGAGGATGATATGAGTAGTAGGTACCTGAGATATGTTGTGACAATTGACGGAACTCAAAGGTAGTCTGGCCTGCTTTTAAAGGTTGTTAACTAGGGGTGTGAGAAGAAAATTGCAAAAAAAAAGAAAAAAACGACAGATAGCATGGAAGATGTAAAGAACAAAGCACAAGCAAAAGGAAAGCCCGACGTGGGACTCGAACCCACAGCCTTAAGATCGCTTTGAATCCAAACTTGGGAGAGATTGGAAGGAGAGAAAGTAGAAGTCTTACGCGCTACCATTGCGCTAGCCGGGCTGGATTGTTGTTGCTTGCTTGCTTTGTCGTTGGGTTTCCGGGGGGGAAAGAAGGGTTTTTGAGTGTGTGGATGTGTTCCTGACTCTCTCCAGGCTGTGTGCATGTGGAAGCAAGGTTTGGCTTTGCTTTGAGGTGCATGGGTGTGGGTTTGGGTGGAGTTGTGAAGGGTGCTGGGGAGATGCGTGCGTGCCGGGATGTGGCAGTTGCTTGGCAGCAAAAAAGGGTCAGGGGGTCAGGGTCAGGGGGTCAGGGTTATGCGTGGGGCAAGCAAACAACGGTTTTTTTGATTCGTGAAACTATGTAGCTAGAAGAGGGAAAGAAAATGACATGACGCCGAAGCATAGATACATGATACGCGACGGGCGAATAAAAGGCTGGCTGACGTGTGTTCGGCAGGCCTATAAAGTCATCATCATGGGTGAGGCGTCAAGATGACTACCTATCAAGCTGAGGTAATATCCTCAGGCAACCTCTTACTCGTCAAAGACAAGGTTATACGTGGCCTTGCTGTAGACGTGGAACCGCGAGGCGTCCTTGGACTGCCCCTCTGGGGTGACGATCTTGCAGTTCTTAAACTCCCTCTCCACGAAGACCTTGAGGAAGGTCTTGACCATCAGCGCGCCCGCGGCTTGACCGGGGCATCGGCGGGGTCCTTTGCCAAAGGGCATGAAGCAGGACGAGCCGAGGAGCTTGTCGCCGTACTTGAGGAAGCGGTTGGGGTCGAACTCGGTGAGGGGGGACATGTCGGGGGCGATCTCGCGCCAGGACTCTTCGTGCTGGTGGAGGGCGTGGATGCTGGAGACGATGCGGGTGCCGGCTTTGATCTTGTAGGTTTGGCCTTGGTAGTTGAGCTCGAAGTCCTTGACGGCGGCATTGTTGATGAGAGATCCGGGGGGCTCGAAGCGGAGGGACTCCCACATGAAGGCCGTGAGGATGGGGGCTTGCATGACTTTTACGTCCATGTCGCCCGGGAGGTCTTCGAGCTTGTTCATCTCCTCGAGGATGGCTTGGCGCCAGTAGGCGTGGTCGGGGTTCAGCATGTGGTAGATGCATCCCATGACGGCCGACTTGACGGCGTCCAGCCCGGCGAAGGTTGCGGTGATCAAGTCGTCAAGGGAGTAGACGTCGGGCATGCCCTGGCCGTCATTCATTTCTTGCAGGAGAGAGGCGACAGTGCCCTCGAGGGGGTTGTTCATCATTTCTGTGCAGATGTCGCGGAGGATGTTGATGTTCTTGCTGAGACGGCGGGCTTCCTTGGTCAGAGGCAGACTGGCGAGAGGGAAGCAAACGCGGTTCCAGAAGCGACTTGAGTAGAAGCGGAGCTCGGTGAAGGTCATGTTCAAAACATCCATGAATGGCAGAGTCCTGACCACTCCGTCGACTTGCTCGACTGTCAGATAGCGACCCTCGATGTTCTGCTGGCCCCAGACGAATTCTCCACTGGTGCAACGCGTCCAGTACTCGAGGAGATCACGAGCATCGATGGAAATCTGGCCGGATTCGCTCTTGACGCTGAATTTGTCCAGAGCATGGTTTGCTTGACGTTCGACAATCTCGTAGAGACGCTTGTTGTCTCTTGTGCTTTTTGTGAGGTTGGCTTTGCGGTCCTTGAAGCGCAGCTTGTGCATAGATTGAAAGGGAATGGCGGAGGGGCTGAGACGACCGACTGAGTGGAGGGCGGGAGTGTTGCGGTCTACCTGCTTTCCTGTCTTTCCGACAAGTTCGCTGCAGAGCTTTGCGTTGGTGGTGTATAGTTGAAGAGTAAGGCCTCGTAGTGTGCCGTAAAGGTTGGTTGGTTTGTCGGTGTATAGCCAGTCGTGACTCTTGTTCTCCTCTTGGAGCTTGGTCACTTGCAGCTCTGCGCCAACAACGGCATAGCAGTTGTCGACAAAGTTGATGCCTTGCTTCTCATACCAACGGCGGAGCAGGAGCGTTTTCAAAACGTAGTCCCACACGAACCAAAGGATAGTGGTGATGATGGGCACACCGGCATAGTAGACCCATTTGCCGAGGATGACAGGCTCGTCTACCTCGATCCTGACGGGGGGCGGTCCACCACTGCCGCTGGTGTTCCAAATGGCGGACGAAGCCATGATGATCGTTGAAGTCAAAAGAGGAACAAGGATGAAATGTTGAAGTTGTGAATGGGAAAGAGTTTGCTCTCCATCTGGGTCAGACCCAGGCAGCTTTATAACCTGGGGAACATATTCACACGGAGGATACTTCTCAACCACCGTCAAGATCCAACCCCCTCTGCAGAAGTTCTCAGAGTCGCATGAAGCACCTAATCTTCTCAATGAGGAAGGTCATCCTCTTTGAACCTTGGGGCTATCCACATGATGCTCTAGGCTGAACAATCAAAGCGATCATCACCACCTATCCAGAGGTTGCCCGACTTACACGAAGTAAGATGCCTGCTCAAAACGGAAAACGAGCCGCTGACTGGCTAGTCTATCTAAACGCTTACTTTGGGTGAGGCAAGGCCGCTGCAGTGAAACCTGAGCTGCGCCGCGGAGGCGAAACCTCTGAACATTGGAGTTTCCCCGAATTTAGTGGTACAAAGCCGATATCTTGTTGTTGTCTACCGTTGTAGTTTCAGCGGAGGATTCCACGAGTATAGATTTCTTCAACGGCTGTTGGTTCAATGTCGCAACCGCTAATGCGTGGCCTATGTAGTTCATGTTGTCAAAGGAGGCAGGAGGCCGAATTCTTTCAAAGGAACCTTCTCAGCAAGGGGACTGTGAGCCCCCTCACCGAAGGTGACCTTGTCTACGAGGCCGAGCTTGTCACAAACTACGTTACAGTCAGTCTGGTATTGTCAAGGGCTCTGGGGATAGGGGCAAGAGCCACAGACTTCCGGCCTCGTTCCGCGCCTGTTGTTGTTGCAGGTTTGATATTCCATTTCTTCGGTATCCCCCACGTACCTCCTGCAGGACTGCGTATACATCACCTTAGGATGGCGAATGGCCTACCTGTATACGTGCTTAGCGCTGATGAATATGATAGTATTCTTCTCCTAGCGAGATGACGGCACATGTAACCATCGCTAAACATGGACTGGTTTTCAAAGGAACAAATACGCAACTTGACCCAAGAATTGGCCCCCCCCCCCCCCCCCCCCCAAGTGAAGAACTGACATCCTATGCGTATGCGTATAGATAAAGTTTCAGAAGCGCCGGCTCCACTATCAGTAATCAACCAGTAATATGTAAGACAGCATGTGATCATGGATCTCGACGGCATTTGACAATCGACCTCAACCCGTCTCTGTGGTGCAACCTTGCGCTCACTAATGCCCTCGGCAAGAATACTAGAGTCAGTTTCCTCAATATCCATGCCTGCTGCCGCTGGCACTGAGGGATAATCCCCCCACTAACAAGACAGGCAACAATACCCCGGAAGGATTTCGATTGCGTCCGAGCCGTCTAGTCTTTGTTTTTGGCCCCCCCCGCCATGGCAGGGGACGGGGACTGGAAAGGGTGTGGTGGGGACCCTGCGTCGATGTCGACATCTGCCAGATGTGCATCTGTATATCGATGGGGTAAAGATATCGACGGCGCTTATCCGCAATCTGACGTTGGAAATGACTATCAGTAATCGGATATCAAAACGTGATTTGACGTGCTAGAATCATGAAATGCTTCAATCTGCTCAAGCCGTGAGTTGCCACGGTGTAAAAAACTTTTTTGGTGGTTCCTCTACGTGTACATTAAGAAACTATATCAGAGTCCTATCAGTAGGTCACGGATATTTCCCCACCTAGCCGTTGGTTGTTGGTCCTCCTCGCGTCGGCAGCAGGGTCCCCCGTAAGGCAGAGAGGCACGGGGAACCAACTCCCTTGCTCCCGGATCACCCTTTAGAAATTTCTACGCCGCGTAGAGGCGAGGAAAATCCAGATCGTCTCCCGCAGCTAGCTAGATCCTGCTGTTTAACCTCCCCCCGTATAGCCACTCCCGTATGAACCCACCCGTCGCTTAGAAAGTGGGCATAGAATAAGCAACCCCCTGCTGACGAACTACTACATACATACCTTGCATCTGCAAGGCTCTTCCTTTCAAGTTCAAAAACAGGGATTATTACTTACAGGGCCCCCTTTACGCTCTGGTATTAGTAAAAGGGTCGGATAAAGGCTGGGCTTGACTTGGCTCATGTGTGTAGTACATACAAGGACAATTGGGGGTGTTTTGCCTTTAAGGGGTATAGATCATCATCTTTTGGCGGGTACGCGTTCGCCCACCTGCAGCCGGAGATCTGGATCACAGTTGTGTGTAATCCTCCCATGTAACGGTATTGATTGGTGAGGAAGATCTGAACAGCGGGCTCAGCGATTTTAGGGAGGGATCATGATGCTGCTTCCAGGGCCTAGATTGCCATTGCCGTCAGCGGCTGGTAGGTGGACAGCGGTGGGGGGAGGGAGGTTCTACCGTCGTCGTTTCAGCGGAGGATTCTACGGGGCCGCACCGTGGGCAATGATCGCCCGCATGGAGGCTCAACGGCTTTGTTGGTTCACCGTAGCATCGGCTTGACGTCTCACTCATGCAGTCAGCCTAGTACTACGGAGTGATCCGGATCTGAGTAAAGCTGCATTCGTGTGTGCGTGGGGAAATAGAGGGGGTGGCTTGTAACGATTGGTTATATACAGTACTTGCATATCACACAGAGACATTTAACTTGTTTTCTTCAACATATGCAAGTAGTTTTTCAACATCTGCAGCACACCGACCGCCATGAGAAGTATACGTCGTCTAAGGTACGTCGCCACCTGCCACCAGCACCTTCCCGTCATAGACTCGGATACCTCGTAGTGCTCGTACAGCTATCGAATGAGAGTTCGGTGTTGATCAAAGACTGTCTTTCACCTAGCGCTGTCAGATTCAGAAAGTGAGGTTCACAAAATGAGGTTCAGAAACCGAGGTGCGTCTGGAGACGGTGGGGGGCTTACAAGGATGCTGATATTGTGCGACCCTCTTTGGCAATACCTTGCGGGCTCCGGAGCAGCC